GTAGTAGTAGTAGTAGTAGTAGTAGTAGTAGTAGTAGTAGTAGTAGTAGTAGTCACATATGCTCAACTGTGGGAAAGAACAAGCCAAAGGCCAGTAAAGGAAGACATACATGTGAAGAAATGGAAATGGATAGGGCACACCCTGAGGAGACCACGACAAGCATCGTCAGACAGGCTTTGACGTGGAATCCACAAGGAAAACGTAAGAAAGGAAGACTAAAGATAACATGGAGGCGAGCGGTACAAGCGGAAATGGAAAAGGCGGGGACATCTTGGAAACCGCTATAAAAGGATGCACAGGAAAGGCTTCGCTGGAGAAATGTTGTTGATGGCATATGCTCCACTGGGAGCTAAAAAGGGCAAGAGAGAGAGAAGAGAGTGAGAGACCCTATAACACTCAGTGAAATTTTCGGCTTCCCGAGAAGCATACAAAGCAAGCAGCCGGTTAAGCTCTCGAACACTGACAAACTGACAAGGTATTTCGCTGTCGATAGCTGAGTACTCATTCTCACATGTGTGAAGTGAGGAAAATTCGTGTAAAGTGCCTTTCCCAAGGACACAACGATGACCCCTAGCGGTATTCGAACCCACGACCTTACAGTTGCACGTCCGAAAGCCTAACCACTAGGCCACGGACGCCCCTTGTGATATGATTTTGATATTTATCTATTGATTAATGAGGCAGGCTTCAACCACACGCCTCAGGGCCAACTCACGGTGAGAGGAACTGGCCTATAACGGAAACACAGAGACACTCATTAAACTTTCTCCTCACAAGGGTGTATCGACCTCAGGTCGCCCGTGTGTATCGGGAAATCGTCTTGCCGCTCCACGACAGACGTTGATGTTACGATAAGAATTTTCCACACACTGGAATCGAACTAAGATCGTGCGTGTGTAACGGGGGAATGGCCAAACTGCTACACGACAAACGCTGAAGTGCCAGGTTGTGATTTTGACTGATAAGATAAACGACATGATTCTAACCGCAAGAGAGGTGTTGATAGTGCTTCCTCCTACTCTTTTTAAGACACGGGTAGGTTTTGTTCGAACGGGACTTATAAGGTATTGATGGAATAGGCTGATCTTTCTAGCGTCTTTCTGCCCTGCTGAATTTATTGTTCGGTTTACAGTTCAATGATACACGATTTTTTCTTCTTTTATCTCATTGTACCCAGACAAATATTAAATCGCAATAATCAAAGAGTTAATCAATCATTTGCTCAAGCAATCAATCAAGCAATCCTTCACTCAGTCAGTAACACTGTTTATCTATGTAAAAGCCGAAAGCACAAGATCTTTACATTATATCACCACGAACATAGGCTTCTCATTAACACAAACACCGCCCCTCTAGCGCTTTCACAGAGCATTTTCTGCACTTCGTTAAGCAGGGTGCTACATCTAATACTTTCCGACATGAAAGAACGTCATTCCTTATTGCTATGACAATAATAATAATAATAATAATCATTATCATCATCATCATCATCATCATCATCATCATCATCATCATCATCATCATCATCATCATCATCATAATGATGATGATGATGATGATGATGATGATGATATTAACAACAACAAAAACAACAACAACCACAACAATAACATGAGGCAAGGTCTGACCGAGAAATGCTGTCACATTTTGAGTATGCAAAAGCTCCATTTCCACTTGAGGATGTGCACAGCTTGTGGCCTTTTCTCCCCTCATTGTTATACGTGATGGCAAACCAAATTACCGAGAAAGAAAAGCGGCACATTGTAA